CTCTGCGTGCCCCCCCCCCAGAGCCCTGCTAAGCCGGCGGCGGCAGGAGGCGGGCGGCCTCTGGGCCAGCAAGCTGAAGCTGAAGAGAAGGAATAAGAATTTGCAACTATAAGCAACAGAAAGAACCTTTAACTGCCTTAAACCAACTGAGAAATACACTATAGAGAAGGATTTTATCTACCTATGGACAGTGAGAAGATGATGGATACCAGCCCTGCATTACCTCAGGCAAGAACAGGAACTACCCTGCCATTCTTAGGGAAGCCAGACACCCGAGGATAAGTCACGCTGCAGACCTCCACAACACCACTCCTGCTAACCACAAGATGGCCGCTGTGCCACATCAACTGATGGTCAACTCTGCTTACCAGAACTGCTTTCCTGAAACTGTATTCCATGGAGACTCACCTACAGTTGCGGAACTGCACGAGACCCACACTTGATCCAACCTTGAATGGAATCTATTTTCCCTATTGTTAAAAACTTTGGACTCGTGACCCCTCTCCCTCTACTCGCAGGTATCGCATTTTCAATGACCCCTCTGGAGGATAGCTGTCTATAGCAGAGATAGAGTAATTGGGAGAGGGGGAAAGGGCTGAGGGTCAAACATAGGATAAAAAACATATTTATATGTATGAAAGTAGAAATGGAACAGTATTGGTGACGACATGCTTGATTAAGACACTATGTAGTTTATCCTAGATGGGAAACTACACTTGGTGTGTTGTGATGATACTCAGGGAATGAGTGTTAGGCAATATAATTTAATATAAAAAAAGTAATAAGCAGGAGGAAAAAAAAATGCACATTTGATGACTGAAGAGAGTTGTATGGACACAACTGGGGTCTACTTTATAATATGTTCATTCTACTCCCTGGGGTTTATGCCTAGGATCAGATTTGGATACATGTGTAAGGATATGTCAGCTGTGCTAGCTAGTGGATATACTTAGACTAATTGAGTTCATTGGTAGAACAATTGAATGGGGGGGGGCGGAAGCCATTGAGGGCAATCATGAATGTCAGGGACAATGGAGGAGGAAGATGGGACATGGCAGAGGGTGGGGATGGGGAACCTAGGATGGCAAAACAAAAGGCAAGGTATGCAGGACACAAAAATTGGGAAATCATTTGCTGAGAACATATATGTTGATGTGCTTGATTGAGCCAATGCACAGTGTATTTTGGATGGAAAATTCATATGTGTGTTGTGATAAGAAAAGAAAAAAATTTATAATAATAAAAAAAAAAAAGAAAAAAGAAATCATCCCCCAGGGGGGATGACCATGCTGCAATCCCTTCTCCATTCTCCTCTCGAGATCTTGAGCATGCACGCACACATGCCCGACATGAGTTTTGAGTCACCGGGCCCAGATTTTGAACTGCAATCAACTACGTGAGAGTCCAGCAGTATAGTCATTTTGCCTTCTGCTGGTCCCTTTCATTGTTTACTGATAAGATTGAATATCTCTTCATATTTATCAACTATTTGAGTTCATTTCTGAGACACTGGAACTAATCTACCTAAATTTATAAAGCTTGTAAGAACCAGAACCAGAATTTAAACCCAGCCTGATTTCTGAGGCTGAGGTATAACACAGAGCTTTTAAGTGTTCCCTTCTCACCTTCTTTTAAAGTGGCTTAAAAAGATCTCCCACCCTCAATCCAAATCTGTAGTAACTAGAAGCAGTAACTGTCTCAGACATGTTTCCATTTTTCTCAGACTACAAAGCAAAGAAAGGTGTAATGTTAAATACTGTGATAGGTGGATTATAGCACTTGGAGGCTTTCTGCCTTCTTGAACGGCTGCTTCATACTCAGTCCTCGGTCATCCCTCTCCTTGGGGTAATTCCTGGACCTTAATTACTTAGGAATGTTTCTGGTGTTTTAGGAGATGGTGACCTTCAAGGATGTGATTGTGGACTTTAGCACAGAGGAATTAAACTATCTTGGTACTACTCAGAGGAACCTCTTCCGGGAGGTGACACTGGAAAATTACAGAAACCTGATCTTCCTAGGTAAGTATGCTTTCTTTTCTTTTCTTTTTTTAAAATTTTTTATTATTATTAATTTTTTTTTTTTTGCTATAGGGCGTGTATGCTCGCCAGAAAGACAGAGAGAGACAGAGAGATAGAAAGCAAGAAATCACCCCCCAGGGAGGATGGCTATGCCGCAATCCCTTCTTCTCCATTCTCTTCTCGGGATCTTGGGCACACACGCATATGCACCTGGCGTGAGTTTAACCGACCTGGTCTGGGAGTCGAACCGCGGTCGACTACATGGCAGTTCAGCGACATAGCCATTATGCTAACTGCTGGTCCCTAGGTAAGTATGCTTTCTCAATGGAACTTAGTTTCTGTCCACTAAAGCAATGGTTCTAACTCTGTTGTGTCCTCCCATCAGTAATGGTGGTTTACCATGTCAGTGAGTCTCAACCCAGGTGAGGCAATATTCTAATATTAAACTCACTGTTAATCATAAAGTACCTAAAAATTATTTAGTATTTAATATATGTTAGGCCTAGGTCTAAGTGCTTTAACATGTTTCAATTTCTCACAATAGCTCTTTGAGGCAGAGATATATTTTTTATTAATGTATTTGTATTGCCATTTTACAGATGAAGAAATTGAATCATGGAAAAGTTAAATTACTTTTCAAAAACTGATATATGATCTGAAGAGATATAACTTCAGAATCTGTGTTAATGTACCTTCACAGAGTTTTGCTTAATCAGGTCTCAGTACAATAGAGGATTTGCAATAATAGATTTTTTTGTTTGTTTGTTTATTTGGGTGTTGTTAGAGCTTTTTTCCTTTGGGTGCATACACTCACTGGGGGAGAGAGACAGTGAGAAGGAAAGTGAGAAATTACTCCCCTCCCCCAGAGGGATGGCCACACTGTAGTCCTTTCTCTTTCATTCTCTTTCTGGGATTTTGGGCACAGCATGCACACTCACGTGCCTGGTCTGTGTTTCAAGTCACCAAGTCCAGGACTTGAACTGCAGTTGGCCATGTGGGTATCCAGTGACATAACCGCTATGCCATCTGCTGGTCCTGTGATAATTGTTTTTAAACAAACAATGGAATTGCAGAAAATGCAAGAACTCCAAAGGCTTCAAATGGCCTTGAAGTTTAAGAGTCAGAGACGAGGTCAGCTCCCTAGCCTAGTGGTTAAGGGAGCCAGATCCCACATGGCTGACTGCAGTTCAAATCCTAGCTCCAGTGGCTTGAGGCACATCTTGGTGTGTGTGTGTGTGTGTGTGTGTGTGCGTGCCCCGAATCCCAACAGGATGGAAAAATGGAGAACAGATTGTGGGTGGTGTGACCATGCCCTACTAGGGTGTACTTTCTCCATCTCTGTTTTTCTCATGTCCTCTGGCAATAAAAAAAAAAAAAAAAAGAATCAGAAACTGTTGGCCTAGCTATGATGATACAAGCAGTAAGGCAGTACGAGAATGGGGACATATGGGAGGCCTGGGTTTGATTCCCAGACAAACCTAAACAGACTGCAGTAGTGTACATCTGTAATCCTAGCTAACTGGAAGGTTAGGGCAAAAGATTGTGACATGGTGATATACTGTAAGAAATACACATCTCTCTATCTGCTTATCCATCCCCTCAGTTAGAAACTACCAATCTCTCTTTATATCCAGAGGCAGAATTGTTCACTTAACTTCTCACAAGCAAAAACAACAACAACAAAAAAAATTGTGGCTTTTAGTGGCTTTTTGAGGGGTTGAGGTCTTCTGAAAAATGAAAATGAAATAAAAACAAATACTGTTGTGCTGGCAGTAACTTGGTGTTCTCGTCATTGCAAAGTCAAGGACCTATTGAAGAGAGGAACACACCTTACCTCAAACTTGATACAGGGGTGCAGAATTTTAACTGCAATTTTCTTTTGTTTTGTTTTTTTGCTCTGGAGGGTCCATGCTCTTGCCAGAGAGAGAGAAAAGGTAGGAGAAGGCATCCCCTGTGAAGAATGGTCATGCCACAGTCTGTTCTCCTCCATCTCTACCTCCTTTTGGGATTTTAGGCATGCATGCACATCACATGACTTATTTCTTAATAAGAGACTTAAACCACACAGTTGGCTATATGGGATCCGGTCACCTTTATCACCATGCCATAGACCTGGCCCTGATCTTTACTGACCTCAAGAAAGTGCCTTTTCCAACATATTGAATATTTTACATTTTCCTCTAGGTTACCACATTTTATGACTTAAAATAGGGGGAAGAGGGACCAGCAGGTGGCATAGTGGTTAAGGCACTGGACTCCCATGTGGTTGTGGTTAGAGTTCTGGACCCAGCGGCCTGAAAATCATGGCAGGCATATGTGCATGTGTGTCCAAAATCCCTAGAGGAGAATAGAGGAGAAGGGATTGCAGCATGGCCAGCCCCCTGGAAGGTGATTTTTCACTTTCTGTCTCTCTATTTCTTGCTGTCTCTGTGGCAAGCGCACACATCCTACAGCAAAAATCTCTCACAGAAGAAAAAAAAAAAGAGGGAAGCTATCAAGAGAGATTGAGTAATCATTTTTTATCTTTTTAGCCTTTACATTGCCTTTTTAAGTGTGGAATGGGTATAGTGGCTTAAATCAAAGATTATTTTTGGTGATACACAGACAACATGAAATAATTCCTTAATCAGTTTTTGAAAAAAATCTTCTAATTTTCTTTCAAACCTGATTGTGTCAGATACAAAGTGTCAGTTTAGTGTTAGCATGTCTCTGCATCTCACTGATCTTCCATTTCAATGAAGAGAGAGCAGACCCCAAACCCTTAGCCTTAGGCAAAGAAGTAAGGTAGCTCTTGATAGCCTTTGTTTCTGTGTTTCTGTGTTTCTGTTACCACATTACCTCCTTTTTTGTTTTGTTTTGGTTTTGGTTTTGGTTTTTTGTTTAGCTTATTTTTTCAGATGATCTTGTTCTATTGCCCAGGCCAGCCATGAGGCTTATGATCCTTTTTCCTCAGCCTCCTGAGTCACAGGTGCATGCTACCTTCACAATCCCTTAGTTGGACTAGGAATTGAACACAGGCTTACCCTATGGTCTTAGCCTGCACAGAATCTTAGCAGTGCATGCAATAGTAGTTATCCCTAGTTGTTTTTTGGTTGGTTGTTTTGTTTTGCAGATGACACTAGTTTTCATTTATAAGGTTGACAGAAAGTTTTGAAATGAAATAAAGTAGGTCATCTAAAGAAAAATATCAAATAAATACTGAATACTATTAAAGGTGGCACATAGATATGACCAAAATACAAGGATCATTCACGAATTTGTCAGTTAACTTTTGATATGCTAGGTCTGGTGTAGGCACTGGGGTTGCAAAATTGATATGAATTCTTGTTCTCATGGATGTTATATTAGAGTTGGGGAGAGACAGATAGTAACAAAGTAAATAATAATGTGGTAGGCAAGTATCAAACTTTGGAAAATAAGGAACTAATGGAGGGGAAGGAGAAACATTTTAAGACAAAAGTGGGGAATAAGGTTATCACAGGAGGAAAACAATTTATATTGTTCACTTTCTTCTTTTTTCTTTTTTTTCCTGAGAGATTTTTGCTATAGGGCATGTGTACTCACCAGAAAGACAGAGAGAGACAGAAAGTAAGAAATCACCCCCCCAGGGGGTAATGGCCATGCCGCAATCCCTTCTCCTCCATTCTCCTCTCGGGATTTTGGGCATGCATGCACACGCACCTGGCGGGAGTTTAAGCCACCGGGTCTGGGACTCAAGCCGCAGTCAACTACATGGGAGTCCAGCAACACAGCCATTATGCCAACTGCTGGTCCTATATTCTTCACTTTCTGAGTGGCTACATCTGGGTCCCAGTGGTGAAGCATAGAGCTCAGCATACTGGTTTCAGACCCTCTTTTCAGTTTTTACTCTTTATTTATTTATTTTTGTTTGTTTGTTTTAGAGATTTTTCCTATAGAGCATGTGTACTTTCTAGAGAGACAGAAACAGAAAGTGAGAAATCACCCCCCAGGATGGGGCAGGGATGACCATGCCACAATTCCTTCTCCTCCATTCTCCTCTCAGAATTTTGGGCATTCATGCACACATGCCCAGTATGAGTCCCAAGCTGCCGGTCTGAGACTTGAACTGCAGTTGACTACATAGGAGTCTAGTGATGTAACCATTATGCCATACTCTGGTCCCCAGTTTTTTACTCTTTAGCACAGTTTTTTGACCTTGACTATGGATGTAAGGCTAGATGATTCTTTGTCATGGGGGCTTTGCTGTACAGTATATTGAGCAGCATCTCTGGCTCTACCCACTAGATGCCAGAAGTACCTCCCTCTTCTCCCACAGTTGTGACAACCAAAGATATTACCATAGATTCCTAGATATCCCTGGAGGGCAAAGTTGTTGAGGACCACTGCTCATACTTGGAAACAGGTTTCATTTTTATATCTAGTGAGAGTTGGGCCTTCCTTATTATTCCAAAGCCTTTATTATTATTATTATTATTATTATTATTATTATTATTATTATTATTATTATTGAGAGGTTTTCACTATAGGGCGCGTGAGCTCGCCAGACAGACAGAGACATAGAGACAGAAAGTGAGAAATCACCCCCCAGGGGGAAGTGGTCACGCCACAATCCCTTCTCCTCCATTCTCCTCTCGGGATCCTGGGCACGCACGCACACGCGCCCGGTGTGAGTTCTAAGTCACCGGGTCTGGGACGCGAACCACGATCGACTACGTGGGAGTCCAGCGACACAGCCATTACGCTAACTGCTGGTTCCCAATTATTTTTTGGTTAGTTCTTTTTCTTTTTCTTCTTCTTCTTCTTTTTTTTTTTTTTTAGAGACTTTTGCTATAGGGAACATGTGTTCGCCAAAGAGACCAAGAGAGACAGAGAGACAGAAACTGGTAAATTCTCCAAGAAGGATGGCCACACTGCAATCCCTTCTCCTTCATTCTTCTCTTGGGATTTCCGCCGGGTCCAAGACTTGAACTGTGGTCTGCTATGTGGGAGTCCAGTGACATAATCATTTCACTCCCTGCTAGTCCCATCCCATAGTCTTTTTTTTTTTTTTGAGAGAGATTTTTTTTTTTTTCACCATAGGGCATGTGCGCTCGCCAGACAGAGAGAGACATAGAGACAGAAAGCGAGGAATCACCCCCCAGGGGGGATGGTCACGCCGCAATCCCTTCTCCTCCATTCTCCTCCCGGGATCTTGGGCACGCACGCACACGCGCCCGACGTGAGTTTTAAGCCACCGGGTCCGGGACGCGAACCGCGGTCGACTACGTGGGAGTCCAGCGACATAGCCATTATGCTAACTGCTGGTTCCCCCATCCCATAGTCTTTAGGACCTAGATTTGAGAGTTGCTGAATCCCTGTTACAAGTCTTCCTCCTTCAACAGGGTACAAATTCTCTAAACCTGATATTATCTCACGCCTGGAGGAGGAGGAGTCACATGCAATGGAGGGAGACAGCAATGTGATGACATTTCGAGGTGAGTAGGAAGGGGAAAGTTCGTTGAGATGAGAATCATAGGAAGGCAACACCCCTGCCTGGTTAGTTGAGACAGGGTGGGAAATACTAGTCACCAAGCATTTCTCAAAGTCCTGTCAGGTAAGAGAGTGCTAGTAAGTACTCTCTTTCATTTCTTTCCCAAAGCTCATTTCTTCCTATAGCATATGTTCCTCTTGCACTCAGCCACAGGGAGATGAGTTTTACTTTTCTCTATGTTCCAACTCCTCCATTCATTTGTGCATTTCTCCTTGCAATTAGAAATTGTAGGTCATCTTTAACTGGGAGAAACAAAAACCCTTGACATGATACCATTTCTCTTTCCCACTTTCCCTCAGATTTGTTGACACCCAAAGGTCAATCCCTACCATCTGGGTTTCATCCCCCTACCTCTACTAAAACACACATACTGTTCTGTACAAACTTCCCTGAAAGGACCTCACCAGCATCCTTACAGATCAAGAACAAGAACCTTCTAGACTTTATCTTCTCCAAACTTTGTGATTCTAATTGTATAATGCTTACCATCTTCATGAAGTCCTCTTCTCTGAGCTGGAACATGTTGTGTATTAGCCATGATCATTGTTGTCCTTCAGTTAGTAGTTAAAAGGATACACATCCAAACTGGCTTAAGTTATGGGAGTGGTAGTTTATGACAATTCTGGTTAGCTAGGCTTCTGGAGTGGCTGGATTTAGGAACTCAGTAATGTCATCAAAGACCTCATTTTACTTTCTCTTTTCTACTTTGCCTTCAACTCCGACAAAAAAATCCTAGATGTACCTTTTTTTCTTGTCCAAAGAGAGAGCGAGAGTATTCAAGAAGCATTCTTACATTTTTTTTTTTTGAGAGGTTTTTGCTGTAGAGCGCATGCGCTCGCCAGAAAGACAGAGAGAGACAGAGAGATAGAAAGCGAGAAATCACCCCCCGGGGAGATGGCCACGCCACAATCCCTTCTCCTCCATTCTCCTCTCGGAATCTTGGGCATGCACGCACACGTGCCCGCCGTGAGTTTAAGCTGCCGGGTCTGGAACTCGAACTGTGGTCGACTACGTGGGAGTCCAGCGACATAGCCATTACGCTAACTGCTGGTCCCTCAAGAAGCATTCTTAAGAGAGAGGTATCATCTTTCTCAGAAGTCTTGACTCATGTCTCCTATTTTTTTAATTGTCCCATACTGGGTGAGATCCCTTTCCTGAACCAGCAGCTGTATCCAGCATAATGCCAATCGACAGAGCCCTCTTCCACCTTTTCCTGTGCAGGCTGAGAAGAAGCCCAAACAAAAATCAGGGAGTTGCTACACCTGTAGCTTTTCTTCTTTGGAATTTGAGGTGCATATTAAAGGTTCTGAAGCATCTTACAGCTTACTAGACTTGTACAATTATTTCAAAATTGACTTGGCAGCAGAACTCCCTTTATAGTCTCAGCTATTAGGTTTTCAGAATATTAGTAATCTACCAAGTGTGGTTTGAAAAATGCTGATGAACTCTAATCCCAGTTCTTTGGTGTCCATGTCTTTGGCATCTTTGTTATCATGAAATGTTCCTAGATGGTCTCTTTTTCACTTCTTCCTTACCCTTCCTTGCTTACAATACTTTCCATCACCTTCCCGTTTTCTCCTTACATTCCCAGAAAACTTTCAGACTTCCATCTGTTATCTTTGGTTTTTTTCTTCTGTTTCTACTATCACAGCATGTCTATTTGAGAAAAACTAGTACAAGTAACTTCTGCATTTATTTTAGATGGGGAAAAGAGACATGAAACCAAAGAACTAACTCTAGAACAATGCCTGCCTGTAGAAAAATCATCCTTGAAGGCAGCAACGGAAGAGGTGTCAGTAGGTAATGTCTTAAATGTCTTTATAGAGAAGTCTTCTGAGGACCCATCAGAATCACACCAGGGCAACCAGGAGAAACTTTGGAGTCCTGTAACAGTTAGTGACCTCAAGACCCTCTCTCAGGAAAGAAGTCATAGCAGTGATGAATTTGAGAAAAGCTCTGATCATACTAAGAAATCAAGTGGGTCTCTTGGAAAGCATCTCCAGGAGTGCAGTACACTTGGAATGTGTATCAGTCCCCAGTCAGTGAATGACAAGCCTTTCCTCCAAGAGAACAAACACAAGAAATGTAAATTTTGCAAAAGAGCCTTTAATACCCAAACAGCCCTTGGTATACATGAGAAGATTCATATTGGGAAGAAACCCTTTGAATGTAAACAATGTGGCAAAGCTTTCTGTCTAGTACCACAACTCATCAGACATCAGAGAACACATTCTAGTGACAAGCCCTCTGAAAGCAAAGGAGGTGGAAAATCTTTCATCCAGCATGCAAATCTCTGTGTAAAATATGATAGGCAGGACTACTATGAATGTTTTCAATGTGGCAAAGCTTTTATCCAAGAGGCACATCTTTTTCAACATCTCAAAGCCCACGAGGCAGCAAAATTCCCTCCCCCTAGGGTGCTCCACAAGACATATTTAATTCGCTATCAACGGAAACAGGACTATGTTGAAGAGAGAGCCTGCCAATGTTGTGACTGTGGTAAAGCCTTTAATCGGAGTTCACATCTTATTCAGCATTATCGAATTCATGCTCTAGAGAGGGCTTACCAGTGCCAACTGTGTGGGAAATGTTTTAGCCGACCCTCATACCTTACTCAACACTATCAGCTCCATTCTAAAGAGAAACCTGTTGAGTACAATCACTGTTAAGAAACGTTCAGTCAGAGAACAAACTTTTCTCAGTATCTTTGGCTTAATCCCAGGGAGAGAACCTGAGTATTCTGAATTTGAGAAGGCCTTCCATTAGCTACCCATACCTTATTCAGAATTATTCATAGTTTAGTTAAAAAACAGAAAATGGTTGCCAGGGTGTAGGACAACCTTGCAAGAGCACATTCAGTACATGTGTCAGCAGTCACAGAGGCCAAAAGCTTACAAAGAATACTTTTGTTGCATAGGAGAGAAGCAAATACACTTAGCCCATCTTCAGCAGTATTCATTGAGTGGAGAATCTTGATTTTGTTAACCCACCAAAAACTAGCAGTCTGACTTAAGTTTTTATAGAAGAGTTTACACACAAAAAGAAAGTTTACCTATAATTTCCTCACCACATGGGGTTAATCAGCACAGTATATGGTAAAAAGATTTTCAAGGTATATCTAAGTTGATTCATCCACAAAGCTGAAATTATTAATTATATATTTATATCATACATCTAAGTTATATGTTGTTATATAATTTTATTTCATCCTTTAAGGGACTATGTGAGGTACCTAGTGCAGATACATACTGTTTTACAAATAAACACACTTAAAACTCTTAAGTTATCGGTTGATTTGGCTACGGATGTAAGGGATAGAATAGTAACAAAACCTAGATTTTTAGAAATTTCTGCCATTTCTTCCTAAAGAAAAGGTATAGTACTATACTGACTACAGTCATCTTCCTATTTAATAATCACAGCATCATTTTACATTAAATCAGATGAGGACACTTGTTATCAGGAGTTCAGAAAGCTTTCACAGGTGAAGTTCTGATAGCTATTTTCCTCATGATTTAGGTTTAGATGTTGATTTTTCTGAGACACTAATTTAGGGAAGTATATTTTTGCTAACCACTTCTTGGAATTGTTCTTATAGACTGCAAATCTGTTACAGATCAAGTAAAGTTTTTTGTAGTTGCTTAAGGATTTTATGAGATACAGGATTTAGATGACTTTTTGAGACACTAATTCAGGGAAGTATATTTTTGCTAAACATGTTCTTGTAATTGTTCCTGTAAATCACAAAGCTGTTACTAACCAAGCAGAGTTTTTTTGCAGTTGCTTGAGGGTATGGGATTTCTTATTCTCTTTTTGCTTTCTTACTTTCTTTTTTAATACCAGCGAGTGCTTGCCCATACATGAGGGCCCCGGGGGGGGGTGGGGGGACAAGCAGGCAGGCAAGCAAGCAGGCTTATTAAACTGCTCCTTTTCCCTCCATTTCCCTATCCTGGCAGAATCCTGATCACATGTGTGCCTGGTGTGATTTTCAAGCCACCAGGGCTGAGATTTGAATCTTGGTCAGTCAAGTGGGATCCAGCTTCCTCTGCCTAGCACTGAGCTGTTATACTACAAGCCTGCCTTTCTCCTTCCTTTTAAAAAAATCTTGTTTGTTTAAAAATCCTGTTTTCTGGGCTCTAGTATAGTCAGCTTCACCTAAAATCCTGTTTATGTGCTGGACATGCATCACTTATTAAAGGTATGAGCCCTGAATTACACTGAACATTTCTTTCATATCATATTGATATGATGTTTAAGTTTCCCATCACCAACTTGAATGGTGGTCAAATACAAAGATACATGATAATTGGATTTTGAGTCAGAACCTGATTCCTTGTCTAAAACGGGTAGATTGTTGCTGTTGTTATTTATTTTCCTGCTTTTTCTCATTCAACCATTTTTGAGGTTGGCTTATAGGTTTAAAATCAAGATTTTTTTTTTTTTTGAGAGGTTTTTGGTTCAGGGTGCGTGCACTCATCAGAAAGAGAGAGAGACAGAAACCAAGAAATCACCCCCCTGGGGGGACGGCCATGCCACAATCCCTTCTTCTCCATTCTCCTCGGGATCTTGGGCATGCATGCACATGCCCCGGCATGAATTTAAGTCAGCAGGTCCAGGAGTCAAACCGCGGTCGACTACATGGGAGTTTAGTGATATAGCCATTACACTAACTGCTGGTTCCTAAAATTATGAAACTTGAAACAAATAATACTTGTCAGAATCTGTACCACCCAAATGGGTACAGGCTACATAATCTCTCTCCTCTTCATTTCACAGTTCTTGATTAAACAGTCCTCATCGGTTGGCTCTCTTTTCTTACCATAATCTGGCTTCTGATCCTGCTACCACCACCATAAATGTGATGTTGACCTCCATGCCTTGACTTAAGTGGTGCATACTGACTTTCTCTTCTGTGAATTTGTTATTTATTTCTCTGTGTAATTAATAAATATTTTGCAGGAGAAACTTTGATATGCAGATATCCTCATTCTTCTCAAACATTTACCCACTAAATTCTAACATCTATCATGTGGGTCTTGCCACAGCCATTATTATTCTGATGTTACAATAGTGATTTTCTATTTCTCTCATTCCTTCTATATTTTGTAATTAGAATTCTTCTGTGAGGAAGAGTTATCTTCTTATTTATTAATTTATTTATATCAGTATATATTTCTGGATATTTATTCTGGGCTATAGTCCAATACAATCATTATTTATTTTATTGTTCAGATTGTTCCAGCTCTGGCCATTGGGAGCTCTTTCAAATTGGCTCCTGTGCCCTTTCAATATGCTCCTATCCTTTTCTCAAACTACTTTCTTTCTACACCTTCCTCAGATTCTCTCCCTTTACCTCCAAGAAAACCCTATCATGTCCTTATGATACTTTCTACTTCATCATGACCTTATGAAATCTGCTTCTTCCCACAGGGTCAAAGTTTATTCAAGCCCTTATCAATCTCAGTTGATTCATTCCTGCCTTTGCAATTTTTCCTAAATCTACATTCAGCCTGGGGTATTATTTATTTATTATACTTTTTTCAATAGTCTTTTCTCTTTTTTAAACTTTTATGTGTTTACTTAAAAAGAAAAAAATTTTAAATCACCTCAGGCAAAGGTCTTGATCATCTCCAAGATATCCCTTTATAGTTGGCTTGTTTAAATTTGAATCTAAACATGGTCTGCAGGTTGCATTTGGTTGTTTCGTCTCTCAAGTCACTTTTTTTAAAGAACTATTTAATTTTATTTATTATCATTATTCTTCAATTTTATGAGAGAGAGAGAGAAAACAAGCTACCAGGGCCTGGACTTGAACTGTGGTTGGCCATGTGGGAGTCCAGTGCCTTAACCACCACTCCACCTGCTGGCCCCTCAACTCAATCTTAATATAAGATGATCCGCTATCACTTTTGGAAAATACTTCATGTGACCCTGAGGATAACATAAAGATCTATTTTCCTCCTTCTCTCATGAATATGATTTTTTAAAAATTTGAATATATTTCTATTTAGTTATATTTTTAATGTGGTAAAAGTATAAAATATACCACTGTAACTATTTTTAAGTGTATAGTTCAGAATCATTTAGTATACTCTCAATTATGTAACAGATCCTCAAAACTTTTTTATCTTACAAAACTAAAACTGTGTACCAATTAAGCAATAACTTTTCATACCACACCCTCCCTGGCAAGCACCATTCTAGCATTCTTTTTTTTTAAAAAAAAAAAAGAACAACTTTATGTGATTATGTAAGTAATAACTTGGAAGAAGTGAGGTCTGTTGTCTTATGGTACATACTTCTTTCTAAATGTGTCTTCTTCCTGGGGTGTCTTTACGTTTGCTGCCATTGCCTTTGCATTTCCCATATGTGAAAGTCAGCTCTAGAGTCTGGCTGCTTAATTAATCTTCACCTTCTTTAGCAAGGACACATCATAGGTGGTTCTGGGTGCTTTCCATCATATTCCACCAGGGGCATATGGTGTTGGGTTTTTCTAAAGACAGCCTTTTAAAGTCCAATAGGTGGAGCCAGTACACTAGTCTCTGGTCATTAAATCAGATGAGGACACTTGTTATCAGGAGTTCAGAAAGCTTTCACAGGTGAAGTTCTGATAGCTATTTTCCTCATGATTTAGGTTTAGATGTTGATTTTTCTGAGACACTAATTTAGGGAAGTATATTTTTGCTAACCACTTCTTGGAATTGTTCTTATAGACTGCAAATCTGTTACAGATCAAGTAAAGTTTTTTGTAGTTGCTTAAGGATTTTATGAGATACAGGATTTAGATGACTTTTTGAGACACTAATTCAGGGAAGTATATTTTTGCTAAACATGTTCTTGTAATTGTTCCTGTAAATCACAAAGCTGTTACTAACCAAGCAGAGTTTTTTTGCAGTTGCTTGAGGGTATGGGATTTCTTATTCTCTTTTTGCTTTCTTACTTTCTTTTTTAATACCAGCGAGTGCTTGCCCATACATGAGGGCCCCGGGGGGGGGTGGGGGGACAAGCAGGCAGGCAAGCAAGCAGGCTTATTAAACTGCTCCTTTTCCCTCCATTTCCCTATCCTGGCAGAATCCTGATCACATGTGTGCCTGGTGTGATTTTCAAGCCACCAGGGCTGAGATTTGAATCTTGGTCAGTCAAGTGGGATCCAGCTTCCTCTGCCTAGCACTGAGCTGTTATACTACAAGCCTGCCTTTCTCCTTCCTTTTAAAAAAATCTTGTTTGTTTAAAAATCCTGTTTTCTGGGCTCTAGTATAGTCAGCTTCACCTAAAATCCTGTTTATGTGCTGGACATGCATCACTTATTAAAGGTATGAGCCCTGAATTACACTGAACATTTCTTTCATATCATATTGATATGATGTTTAAGTTTCCCATCACCAACTTGAATGGTGGTCAAATACAAAGATACATGATAATTGGATTTTGAGTCAGAACCTGATTCCTTGTCTAAAACGGGTAGATTGTTGCTGTTGTTATTTATTTTCCTGCTTTTTCTCATTCAACCATTTTTGAGGTTGGCTTATAGGTTTAAAATCAAGATTTTTTTTTTTTTTTGAGAGGTTTTTGGTTCAGGGTGCGTGCACTCATCAGAAAGAGAAAGAGACAAAAACCAAGAAATCACACCCCTGGGGGGACGGCCATGCCACAATCCCTTCTTCTCCATTCTCCTCGGGATCTTGGGCACGCACGCACACGCGCCCGGCGTGAGTTTAAGCCATTGGGTCCGGGACTCGAACCGCAGTTGACTACGAGGGAGTTCAGTGATATAGCCATTACACTAACTGCTGGTTCCTAAAATTATGAAACTTGAAACAAATAATACTTGTCAGAATCTGTACCACCCAAATGGGTACAGGCTACATAATCTCTCTCCTCTTCATTTCACAGTTCTTGATTAAACAGTCCTCATCGGTTGGCTCTCTTTTCTTACCATAATCTGGCTTCTGATCCTGCTACCACCACCATAAATGTGATGTTGACCTCCATGCCTTGACTTAAGTGGTGCATACTGACTTTCTCTTCTGTGAATTTGTTATTTATTTCTCTGTGTAATTAATAAATATTTTGCAGGAGAAAC